TTCTATAGCAAAGTATACTTTTTAGTGCGATGCCTTATCAGAAATAAGGATCTAACAAGCCCAAGCTTAAGTGTTGGCCTTGGGCTTGAAAAAGTTTGGACTTGGAAAGCTTGCGCATGGTTTGAAACTCAAGCTTTTTCAAACTGATGTATAAGTCAAATGTGGAATCAATTAAGATAGGTATACAACAATACCAATACGGTATTGGAGTATTGGTGCTGTTCAGTATTTATCTAAAGGAACTATTGACCAATCAAAATCTCTCCTATTATTTCCAACCAAAGAGATTTCTTTCTTTACTAACTCTCAGCCACTTAGATTTTTCGTTGATTTTCCTCGTTCAATAAGACTTATTCCATAATCATCTCTAAGCCATTAAGATTTCTTTCTTAATTATCTGATTGGTCGAGGAAAACCAACGAAAAAACTGATTCGCTGAGAGTTAATGAAGAAAGAAATCTGATTGGTTGGCAATAATAGAAGAGATTTTGATTAGTCGATAATTCCTTCAGATAAATACTGAACAGCGTCAATAACTACCAATGCCAATACCCCAATACCGTATTGGTATTGTTGTATAACTATCACAATTGATTCCATATTTGATTTATACTTCAGTTTAAAAAATAGCCTGCATTCCAAACCAAGGGCAAACTTTTTCAAGTCCAAGCTAGTCAGAAACGATGCGAAAAATGAATGATTTTCAAAGTATATAAAAAATTATCGAGCAAAATGACAATTTTCTTCTATGATTTCTACAAATCTTGAGCTAATCATAACTTTGAATACACCATTAGAAAGAGCGCGACAAACTGCACTAGAATTACCGATTGGGCAGTTATTCGACGTTATGAAGTTGAGTTAGCCAATTTCAATTTTCATACTAACACTGCGGAAAAATCTGTAAAACTTGCTATATTCTATTGCTAGCGCGTCAATAAGAACATAAAATTTTGTAAAACACATTATGTTTATAGAGCATTGCTTTCTGTACAAAACAAATATATCTGCAAGCAAAATGAGTCTATTCTCATGAGTTGGATGCAATTGTCTCATTGAAACAACTAGCGGTCACAATTTACGAGTTACTCCAAATATGAAACTAGATTCGAATAAGGTCAGACAAAGAATTTTCCAATGCAATGTTGTTAATTTTTTTACTCAGAATATCATCCTCTTTCAAATGAGAAGCTATGTAGAGACGCTCGAACTTTAATTAACATCCTTCGAACCTAGTTTCATATTTGAAGTAACCCGTAATTTGTGACAACTAGTTGCTCAAATGAGACAATTACATCCAACTCATGAGAATAGACTCATTTTCGACCTTATATATATATTTGTCCTGCACAGAAAGCAATGTTCTATAAGCCTAGTGTATTTTAAAAAACCTTATTATCTTATTGACGTGCTAGAGATAGAATATAGCAAGTTTTACTGATTTTTTTTCATAGTGTTGGTATAAAAGTTAGAATTGACTAACTTAACTTCATAACGTGGAATAACTGCTCCATCTGCAATTCAAGTGTAGTTTGTCACGTTCTTTCTAATGGCGCATTCAAAATTAGGATTAGCGCAAAATTTGTGGAAATCGTAGAAGAAAACTGCCATTTCGCTCGATAATTTTTAGGATACCTTGAAAATCACTCATTTTCGCATCGTTTCCAACAAGGTGCAATACTGAACAGTAGTCCATCCTGTACAGCACAATTTTCTCTTTCGAATGGTCCGTTATGAAGAAAGTTTAAACTTGAAATAGGAGGGTAGTGGCTCAGAAAAGAGAATTGTCGGGTAATTTTGGAATAGTGAAGAAATGCATGATATGATTATCTCGTCAATAGTAAATCGAAAGATGGATCGATTGACCTGAAATTTTGTACACATATATAGGGAAAAACTTGTATCTACCCCTCACAGAGCGCGACAGTCATGAAGGAGACAGTCACGGGGTGTCGAATATTGTGAGTCATATAATTATCTTCATCATTTTTTTAAAGTGAACTATTGAAGTGAGTCCATCGTGTTTCTTATTTTAGTCCAGCAGGTATTGGGCTGAAAGCTTTTCTCTTTCTCTTATTTTCTCTTTCGTTATCTCGCTACTTTTGATAGTCAGCCAGGTTGTAGAGAGAATAGAGAACTATAGAATAAAAGGGATCTCTCATAAGTGTGCACAGATTGATTTTCATCTATATATGATTCATGATTATGTTGTAGATGGCTGCCTCTCCGTCATCATCCGTCGTCATTCGTAGCTATCAACCATCCGATTTGTCTGCTTGCCAGGCTCTGTTATTAGACGCTCATAAGGAGTATGAGCATCCAACTGAGTTTGATACGCTAGATTTTGCAAAGGACATGGCCGATATTGAGAAGAATTATCTTCAAGTGCCCAATGCTCACTGGTGGGTAGCTGTATCAACGAATGATAGTCACATTGTAGGTCAAGTGGGTGTACAGCCTTTGCATCTTGGAGATCGAGCTTATTATCAACAAGCGGCTGTGAATGAACGAGATCACATTTGCGAGTTACGTCGAATGGTTGTCGCTCCAAATGCACAAAAATGCGGTGTCGGATCTCTCCTGCTCTCTACTTTACTCGATTTTGCTCGACAACACGGTTATCATCAAGTACATCTGACTACCTTGACCAATATGGGCAAAGCATGTCAATTCTATGAAAAGAATGGTTTTGTGAAGGGTCAAATCGATCGATATTCGTTGGAGCAAGTTGCTCATCAACAACAGAAACAAGAAAACGCCTTCACCGACTACATGCTGACACCGGTGGTGTTCGAAGTCGGTGCTGTCATACCTGATGAAGATCAACATCGGATGAAATTATCAGTAACTCAATCCAAATTTTTGTATGCACAACATTTTTTTCGTACGCTGTAGAACGAACGGATCGAGTGATTTTCTTTTGATTCAGTGTCGTTTTCAATATTGTTCAAACTGAAATAAGAATCACAGTTAGGACCAATCAATATTTTTCATAAGTGGTACCGGTACCAATCAGATCAAACTAGACCGGTCTGAAAGCTTTTCGTCGATATTGATTTCTGAACCTGTTTCTGAATATGATTGTTTGCCCTGGATGCTCGCCTATGTCATGCACTCGCCTTTTTTTACTATTGATTTGTAGAGACTACCTCCATTGATAGATAATATTGTTTAACTTTAATGAAAAATTCTAGGTCTTAAAGCAGAAGCACCTGTCAGCCAACGCGATTTTTTCTCCTGAAATTTTCGAAGAGCTCTGAGAAGATATTTTTCGAAGTGCAAGACATTGGGAACACAATGTGGAGCAAAATAGAAATGTACTGGTATACTTCATTGGCTGACCAACAGATTGCCTGGTCGGCCGGTCTCACCGGTTCCATCTATGGTAAGAGTGATGTTAATATCAATAAGATAAATTGATTGATTATGTGTGATGTTACAACGATCTGAATGAAGTTATCAAGGAAGTCAAATTCTCCGATAAATATTTGGATTATGGCCTATGGCATAGCTGCAAAGGATCATGCTATATCCGTGGTACAATAATCTTATAGAGATCCTTTATCTATTAACTATTCTATGATGTGTCTTTTTTGTGTCACTGTGCTGAGACATTTGCACGATGATATATACTTATAAATCATCGAACAATGACAACACAATTTTATTTCTCGTTCTTATCTACATACAATGAGACTGAAATGAGGCTTATTCACATTTCACTTGTTGACCGTCAGATCAAGGTTTCGCTCATAGTGAGTTGCCAGGTGCCGATTTTGTTGTTAATCAGACAGACTTTTGAGTGACATGGTATACTTTGCACACTAATTGGACGATGTCTCATACAAAACATGTAATGTCCCAATCCAAATATCTTCACTACATTCGAATGGTACGTTTACAAGCATGTAGCCCACATGCCTTCACAGTTTTTTAGTTATTTGTATCTGCTTATTTCTGTGTATATTCTTTCTTCTTCATTTTTTCATTTTGTGCTTTCTTTCGTTACATCGCTTGTTGTTTTTTCGGATCAAACATGTCAAAGAGAGTGTAGAGACAAATCAAATAAGAGGGATCTTTCATAGTATAAAGATTATCGGCACAGCGTTATAGGAGTATAGTCATAGAGATATAGACTCAGGAATGAGGATGGAATCATATGCAAATATGGATAGGTGTAGGGGTTAAGATATAGAAAGAGACTATACGTAAGGAGTATGCATATAGATATAGAATACAAACACATATTGTTAGAGAACAATACAGGTAAATCTGACACGATCCAATTACATAAAATATGTCTTCGTCAGATGGTTTTCTCTCTCTGTCGATCTGATTACATTCTCCCGAATTCAGCTATCAGAAACTTTCGGAGTTCGCTTCAGCCTAATTTGATCCGGTCGAATTGGGTCGGAAGCTAAGTAATTTTGGCAGAATCTGGTGCTGGATTCCAGTAACTCTGACAAAATTCGATTATCGCAATCCTCGAGGTGGATGATTTCAGCAGAGTTCTTTTAGGAATTTCGAATTCTTTTTTCAATGCAACTGACAAGAGAACATGTTGAACTCCCCCTGAAAACAACGTTCAAAGTATTTTATCTTGCCGATAATTTCGCGCTGATTCCGAACATTAATATCTTAGCTGCCTTCGTTGAAAATTGAAAAGAATACAGAATATAACTTTTCAGTTTGGCTCTCTTCCTATTGATGAACACTACTTTTGGTGCTTAAAAATGGAAAACCTATACATTATATACTTTTCAGTTATCAACAAGGGCACTGAATAAGGCTCATTCTCAAAAGAGATACAATTTATGCTTATGCGAAAACTTTGGACCGATTTGTAGCTATTTAATTCTTGCATAACTATTTAAAGCTTCTATATCTATTGAATCTGCAACACTCTTTTAAAAAGATCTTCCATACTAATTAATTTAATATTCTCTGTAGCTATTGAAATGAGTGTCGATTATTTATTTAAGCTTACTGCTCGCTTTTTTGCAAGGAATGGGGGTTTTGAATTTTAATTTGTCATCAATAATTTATGTAGCTACTCACTTTGTAGCAATGTTTAGTTCATGGATTACGGTGATCTTATGAGCTATTTGAAGCGTGTGTTATAAAAATTATCATAGCTAGTTCACACATTTAATAAGAAGTTAATTGAGTGAAATTTGAGTCTTAGAAATATCAACGAAACTCAAAGAAGAACGTTTATACTATACTAATGTAGTCTGCTCTTGATAGGGACTCTAGCTAGAATTAGAACTCTATTACAGTTACACAACATCAATTTATATTAATATTGAGTATTTTTCTTTATATTAGTTCGTTATTAATGGGATTGGAAATTTACTTTTAACCCTCCTGTTCATTAATTGATGCTTCTTTACATCTTTCTTCGAATGATAGACAGCTAACAGCGACCTATGTGACTGTATCGAGAGCTGCAAGCTATCATGAAAGTCTACAGGCTTCCTGTTAATAGTGTTTGGTCTTGAATTTCCATCAATATTCAACTTATTAGCTCAAACAGAGCTTGAGATAAAATGAAAACTACGAGCACATCGAGTATAAGAATATGTGAGCATTGTCGAATTCATTAGTTCATAAATAAGAGAGAAAATTGAAGCCTATGAATAACTACTACTGTACTATTGGCAAATTCTGTAAAAATGTCTTAAATAAAAGTAATACAATGATTGTTCGAGAACTCAGTAAATAAATTATGAAATGGAAAGCAGTTTTCTAGTGCAACACTCTTATGATCAAATGAAATGTGTAATGATAAAAGATGAAATTCTTATGCCATCAAATAGAATTATAATTTTAGTGGCTATGTTTCCGCATGCAGAACCAGTGAAGCTTTCTGTACACAGACATGTGAAATTATGTTTGATACAAACATCGAGTGATGAGACATGGTAAATCAAAGTTGTTAAGTCAAGATGAAGAGAATCGAACGAATATGTACATTTACGTTTGATATGGCAACATAGTCGTCAGCAATCTTATTCACATTGACAAAATAGTTTATTCATAGTAACATACGTGGTACAACGGTCATGAATAAACATATAGTTGAACACAATTCAATGTAACAGTTCTTATTGGATAATTAGTTGAGAATCAAGGCCAATAATGAGCAAATATAGAAATGAAACAGGCAGATGCTAATGAACGTGATATGTAAATAGCATTTTATCGAATTCATCAACATCTATCAAATCGTTTTTAGCATCATTTTTTTACACGATGGATAAGAATATTAAATGTTAAAGTTTTGGGCACAATTATAAATAGCTAATAAGATAAATGAAGTACTCATAAAAATTCATGTACTGAGACGCATCATTGTTTATAATTCTGCTAAGAATAAGAAAAATAATATGTCGTTCAGGCTTACTTGAGGGTGTGGATGCATTGACATGTTTGTAAGTCATCGCGCGGTATCCAAACCGAGCTTTCTTTCTAATTTGTTTTAGTATGACAGAGTCAAATCAATGATGACCAAAAAATTGGTATCGATATTCGAACACATAATTGATTAGTTGCATGAGTTTTGTTTCCGTGAACAAGTTGTTCAAATCATATGCACTTATTGAGCAACTCGAATGATATAATTAACCTCCTTAAAACAGGATAATGTCACTGTCATTTCTCATGTCTCTTACACATCGAAGACTAAACGTGTCTTTGAATATGTTTGTACCGATTACGTAAATGTTGCTCAATCAACTACAGGATATCCCCAAATGTACATAATCATTTGTCCTATCACAGGAGATATAATCCTCCTATATTTTTCCATATCTCATGTATCTACTGTAAATTCTCTCTCTTCTTGACCTCTATAACTCCCAAGTCTCGTGCATCTCCTACACTGATATTTAATTGAGTTGATGTGCACATCCATAAAAGACATCATACTTAGGGTTAGCCAAAAGTAATGTCGGAGATACCTTATTCTCTTTTAAGACGATCAAAAAAAATTCTTTTTTTACAGAACAATAGAGAAAACGAAGCTCTATTTTTCT